GGTATGTCAGCCTTGACTTAACCGAGGTGGACTTTACTCAGTTAAAGTGTCCCTCAAGGAACTATGTATCCTGGAGACACGAGGCTGTGGTAAAAGTACAAGTTGAGAAACGGCTAGCAGATGGAGTGATAGAAACTAACTATCAACAGACGCCAGTTAGCTTGGCACTGCTAGCCGTAGACCAACATAACTCTGACGGATCGTTTAAGAAGTCAGAGTATGTTTAGATATGAGTCCAATAAATAAATTATTGCCGACTCATAGCTTTCACTTATTAACGAGCTACTGCGAAGGATGGAAAGTGCTACAGTATTTATAACTATAGACCTTACACAAGGATACCATCAAATGCAGGTATATGAACCACATCGTAAATACTTTAGTTTTACGTGGAAAGGTAAACAATACAGGCTCAGAGGTGCACCTTTCGGGTTACACTCTTTACCAGCATTCTTCCAACAAGTAATGGAGGAAATGTTTGCAGACATGCCTAACGTGCAAGTCTACATAGATGACATAGTCATCTTTTCCAAAACTATGGGCGAACACACAGCATTAGTCAGACGAGTCCTTAAGAGACTCAACGAGCAAAACTTCAAGATTAACGAGATGAAATGCCACTTCGCCATGAGCGAAATACAGCTCTTAGGCTACCGTATATCTGGGGAAGGTATTAAAATCGACCCCGGTAAGGTAGAAACCTTTTGGGTTACACTCTTTACCAGCATTCTTCCAACAAGTAATGGAGGAAATGTTTGCAGACATGCCTAACGTGCAAGTCTACATAGATGACATAGTCATCTTTTCCAAAACTATGGGCGAACACACCGCATTAGTCAGACGAGTCCTTAAGAAACTCAACGAGCAAAACTTCAAGATTAACGAGATGAAATGCCACTTCGCCATGAGCGAAATACAGCTCTTAGGCTACCGTATATCTGGGGAAGGTATTAAAATCGACCCCGGTAAGGTAGAACACCTGTTAGATTGGCGAACACCAACTACAGAAAGAGATGTTAACAGCATGTGTGGGTTTGTAAACTTCTTTTCAGATGGAGTACCACACTTGGCTGATTACCTTAAACCTTTTGGACACATAAGATATCATAATGGCAAGCTAGGAGACTTGTGGACTAAAGAGTGTGATGACGCATTTAAAGCGCTCAAACACGCAGTCCAGCAAGCCCATGTTGTACAAGGACCAGTCGACGGCGTGCCGTTTGAAATAGCAACGGACGCCTCCGACTTAGCCTTAGGAGGAGTAGTATATCGGGTTATAGATAACAAACCTAGATATATGCAATTCTTTAGTTGAGCAATGAATGCTTCACAGTTGAATTACCCAACTGTTAAACAAGAGCTATTAGCCGTAGTGGCAGCTCTAACACACTTCCGAGATTACTTATACGGAACAGCATTTACGCTGATGCGTGATCAGAAATCTCTTCAATATATGAAAGAGATGAAACCCGACTCACAATTACTGAGTCGCTGGCATGATACAATATCAACGTTTCATTTTGATATAAAACATCTGCCAGGAATACATAACCATTTACCGGATATGTTATCACGCTTCGTACCGGACTTTAATAAATCCGTACGTGAGTTACTAGCCACTGACTGGAAATGTAATCCCAGGTGGTTTGAACTGGCTCAAAAGATATTAGGGCCACATACCATAGATATGTTTGCTGCACATCATAATGCACAACTATCGCATTACAGGACTTTAAATCATACTTTGGGAGACGCCTTTCAAATAGACCTCTCTAAACATAATGCGTGGGCTAACCCACCATGGCATTTAATTGCCCAGCTATTAAATTATGTTCATATACATAAAGCTACCATCACGTTGTGTTGCCCATTACGGAGTAAAGATCCATGGCTCAATAAATTAATAAGCATGATACAATGCGAGCCAATATATTTAGATGCTAACCCACCATGGTAGTTAATTGCCCAGCTATTAAATTATGTTCATATACATAAAGCTACCATCACGTTGTGTTACCCAATACGGAGTAAAGATCCATGGCTCAATAAATTAATAAGCATGATACAATGCGAGCCAATATATTTAGATAGGGAAGTAGATACTTTCCTATATAAGGGTACCCGAGCCGTCCAGAAGACGCCCTGGAGACTATAATATGTCGTATATGTCCCATTGGAACATCCAAATGGGCCCCTTCTGAGACCTTCCTTAACAAGGTCAAAGAATCAGAGATTCCACTTTTTACCCAACTGAACGTGAAGCAGTTCAAAGGCAACACATCACTTGAAGTCTGTGCACAAGAAATACAATCTACTAGTGAAATTACTGTTAAGAAGCGTCAGTCTCTAGCTAGGACTCTGTTTAATAACATAAAGTCCAAACCCGATGTCTTTCAAACCCTATTTTTAAAGGGATTAATGAAAGATGATCCTGAAGCGTATACACATAAGTCAGGTGTATCTAACGCACATGAGCGCACTTATGACACTCATGCGAAAGCAGGACAGGAGTCTGGAAACACTACAGACTTAGAGACCACATAAGTGGATTCTCAACACCCTAACTTTTTTCTGGAAGAGCAGAATGATAAAAACATTCTTGCTTGGCTGACGCAAAACCATGAGCTGAAGCACCAGAACGTAGTAGACGCACTTAAAGATGCTAAGCGAAATGGGATCGTGCACCCTAAGCTGGCAACTTTAGTTGACAGAGTATATCAGTCATGTACAGACTGTGATCTCAATCAGATCAAGCGCTATGGGTTCGCACCGCTTAAGAGTGTGACTGAAGATGTTCTATGGCGCAGGGTCATCATTGATCTGGTTGACCTGCCCACGTCCGAGCACACAGGCGACCGTTACGTATGCCACTTCTTTGATGTGGCGTCACGGTTTAACTTGCTTTATCCATTAAAGGATAAGAATACGCAGACCGTGGCATAATTATGTTGCCAAGTCTTTGCTGACCACAGGTGGCCAGGTATTATATGCACTGATAACGGTAGTGAGTTCTGCGATGACGTAATGGAATCGCTAGTACTCGTATCAGGCATATGCCATAAGAGAGGTGTGCCATATAAGCCGCAAACACAAGGCGCGAATGAAACGCGCCATAGAAAACTTAAGTTTTTCTTGCGTACTGCATTAACGGATGATGCAGATGAATGGCCGTACCACCTTAAGTGGGTACAAACACAGATGAACGAGTGTGCTGATCCGGTTACAGGAACTACACCCGCTCACTATTTTCGTGGCAGATATAGTGAGTTACAAATCCCCTTTAACAAGGGCGAGCCTGATCACCATGAGTTACCATGTTTAGAGAAGGTACAACGTATTTATAACGTTGTATATCCTTGCTTGCGAGAAATACGCAATATAGCCTTATTAAAAAGGCAAAAGCGTTGGAACACTACCAAGAAGATAGCAGAGTATCAGGTTGGTGACAGAGTTAACATCAGTCAACGTAATTCCGATGCTACTGTATTAACATCTAAATGGATAGGTCCATATATAATCTCTGTAGCAGACACTAAAAGTGGAACGTACGCGGTAAACAACCCCGATGGTTCTAGTGCGCCTAATATAGGCACAAGTCGTATTCCGACTACAGAGATTATACTCGCAAGAAGACATGACTCTAATGCCCCTCTTGATAGTTCTGAATTTAAAGACAATATATGGAGAACGGATAATGGAGGCTATACATACTATCGCACACGCTTTATAAACGGTACAATAGCTGAGTTGACTTCAGATGCTTTCGATAATTAAGACTATTTAAAAGCCTTTAATCGAAAATGGCGAAAATGCCTGCATAATTCACAAGCTGAAAAAGATAGCATGTTTCCATCGTTTGAAGGCACGGAAGTTAAAACTTACCCGCCCACAGCATTTATCCCGAGCTTTAATGCTCATCCTTCATATGTACGTAAGACACTGAAGCGTAAGAAACGTCCAGTCGGCCACCACGGACCTACTGGACCTAAGCCCAAAACTCACAGGGTAACCGAGAACGCTTAACTTCTCCGCCTGAGAAACAATAACTATATGTTATACTACTTAATGTTTTCGACCAGTTCTTCCTTTCTCGCTTTTTGACCCATACTCAGCTTGAGTGAGCAACTTGCTTCTCACGGGTCTCAAAGCTGGGTGGGGGCTGTGTAATAGCCGGGCCTCCACATTAGACTCTATGTTATAAACGCACTCTTAAGCAGTACGTAAATTATAAACGTACTCTTAATAGTACAAGGAACTTAAATTTTCCTAAATGGTTTTTAATGATTTTATTAATTAATACCTATTCCATTTTACATATAAGATATTTGGACAAGGCCATTAAAAGGCCTCAGAAAAATACCAAACATAAGAGTTGGTCTAGTTCTATTAACATAACTATATTTACTTTCCAACTTTATTTATATCTGAACACTTCGGTAGCGAGATGGCTCAACCGAATATAGGTTTCTAGGGACTATTAACGTTACCTAGTTGATCCTCCGATCAGCCAACCAGATGTGCCAGTCTGATGAAGGCTAAGTCGGTAATTCTTGATAAGTGGCAAGTTATTGGTTAAGACAATAACTAAGGACATCAAGAGTTAAAAAAAAATCTTCTAAAGATAGGATTTTATGAGTCTCTCGGATTCGCCCCGATGAAAAATATCGTAGTTTTTAATAGAGCGACAACGAAACACTAAATAAAATCCCTTCGGCGGAAACAGTACTGAGAGGATTTTATATAGGCAATGTCTCAGCCTCACAATCCCTCAAAGTATTGCTGCTTTCACGAGGCATACCTAACTTTACTAAAAGTTTCATTTCATTTATTTACTTTGATATTTTCACGATACTTAGAATTTACCCACGCGTTTATTTACTCTACGGCGTTAATATCGCCTTAATAGACCGAATCTTACAGCGGTGGTGATTCTAGATGTTTATATTACTATATCTAACCACATGTGTCCGTTTACTACTGATACTATATTATTTGATGTCATGGCACCATTCTGCTTGGGAAAGAGGCGATTCTTAGTTTCTTATCCCAGCAAGATCGATTACAGATTGGGACCGCACCAGCGATCCTCCTGTTTTTCGTTTAGCGTCGAGTACGATCGACGCGGAGACCATATTCAATATGGAAACTATGCCCTTCCAGGAGGAGGACATCAAGGGCAACGATTTTTTTTCTTGCACCCGGACGCTATGGCCAAGGGCATTGGGGTCAGTGAACAAGAGTTGAAGAGAATGAAAGCACACTGGCGCAAGTGTGCATATCGGAAAGATCAAGACCACGCGTTCTCCAAGGGTCCTGGTTTCCGGATTCCTACGAGGCCTGATGCCATCCCGTCTAGGAGCATTTACAAGTATAGGGATCCGCTTCGGAAGGGAGTGGAGAGCAGGAAGCTGGCCAAGGAACTAGAACGGGGCATCACCCGGAAATGGTCCATCCCGGATCACTCCAACATGCCCAGCGAAGAATAGTTGCGGACACATATATGTAACGCTCACCAGACTACCATCACGGACAACGCCAATGGATTTAACCAATTCACGATAGATGAGCGTGACCGGTATAATACGAAGTTTGTTGCCAGCGACGGTCAGGTTTACGAGCGTGTTGGCGCGGGATTCGAGTTGTCCGGGGTTCCAGCTGTAAAAATAGCGGGTTCCAAATAGTAGTTGCACAGTTAACGTATTTTATAAACGTACTAACGCATTAACGGTTATTCTTATAGTACTGGAATACGTTTAGCGCATTGGACATGAACAAGAATTGAGATATTTAAGATTCTGAACATGTGATAGTACTCAGTAGAGTATGAGACTCTACTGTGGACAATTAGGCGGGTTTCCAAATATAGATTGGTTTTTTTTCCCACTGAAATTAGAATTGTACTTAACATAGGAATGATACAAATCTGACACCTGGAAATGACACTTTGGGAATCTCTAATTAATGGGAGTACCATGAGAGAGGGTCTCAGGCATGAATTGGTTGTTGGCACAAACCTATGGTATAATTCGATAATTATCTCAGAGCAAGATAATCCACTGAGAAAAGGACAGGATCAGAGTTGTTAGAATCTAGGACAACCTGGTTTTGATTCCTCCTAGTCAGCCAACTAGATGTGCCGTCTATGCCTTAAATGGGATGGAGAGCTAGGTACCAAGTGATGGGGTTTAGGTGCAGATGTATACTGCGCCTGCTTGATGTTTTGATTTTAATTTTTTAATTTTCTTGGGTTGGACTTAGCGATATTTTATTGGTTATTTTGAGTAGGTAATTGTTTCGAGGCGTGAAATGCAAAATATGCGTCCAATGAAATGATATCTAGTCTTAGCAACTAAAACATAAATAAATCTAGACCGAAGTAGTGAGTGATTAGAGCGGAGCATATAGACAATAGTCTCAGTCTAAAATCCCCTAATCTTTTGCTCACTACCAAGGGCTGAAGCTAAACTTATTGTTAACATTTTGCATTTTAACGTTTTAACGTATTTTCTTTTTAACGTAAACGTCTTGATATCGTATAGTCAGCCTAGAGGAGACCGACTTTTACACAGCACAGTATACCCAGCGGAGCGAGCATAATTTTAGGTCCGTGCTGTGCAAGGCTTTACGTGTTTTGTCGATGAGGTTTTACGACGAGCACCAATAAGGAGATGGAGGATCAGTTGAGGGCATCGTCAGGTGGCCGGCCGGATATGGGAAATTCAGCGCAGCGTTCTATCACAGGTAGTTTTGGTGATTCTGGGAGTAGTGGTGTTCTTCAGGAGGAGGAAGGGATACCCAGTGTTCGTCGAGAGTTGCCGCGGATGACGGATGTCCTATCGGCTGGGGGGACTGGCGAGGCCGAGAGGTTGACGCTGAGAGAGTACGAGGCTGACCTATGGCACTGGAAGTCGCTCTGGCATAAGGTTCGAGCAGCGATTGAGTCGGGGACCACATTCCAAGGCTGTTCTATGGCCACCTTTGGTACGACGGATTCGTCACTATTACGGATGAGCGAATGCAGGGCATCGTGAGCCTGGGCTTGCCGAAGAATAAGGACGAGCCACTCACCATTATATGTATGATGGCTAGGTGGAGTTGCTTTACCCCTGGGCTGAGTGGTACTCTTGTGCCCCTCACGAATCAGACGAAGGATGGTGTCAAGTTTAATATGGATTACGAGTGTGTCATTGTGTATGATCGGTGCATGTGGCTAGTTACTAATGGCATATATCTGTACAGTCCGGAGCCGCAGGAGGAAATCCATGGCTACCCTGATATCAGTGAGTACGCTGTAGGGGTTGAAGTGTTGGTGCAGAGGGCGCCTGCGGTCGTTCTACAGATGGGGAAAGATATTGCGGCTGGGCGGCTGAGATGGCTCGTCAGAAGCGGGCCAAGAAGGATCCGTCTCACGCGTATGCCAGGGCAAAGGTAGCGTGGGGCCAGGCGTAGGATAAACTGGTGGAGTATTTGGAGCGGGAAGGGGACCCGCTAACCGAGCAGTTACATCGCTGGAAGACGAAAACGGAGCGCAAGAAGAAGGGTAAGGATTTAGCGAAAAAAACTGTTAGAGGAACATCTGGCTATGGCACCTGCCCTTCCCGGTTGGGGCCGGAAGTTGTTGATCGAGCGCTGCAACCAGTGGAGCGTCGGGTCACGATTGGTTGGCCGTTGGAGTTGCCTGAGCCTGCGGATGCTTTGCCTATGCCAGGATATCGTTTTCGAGGGGTTGCCTGTAGCGGGGGTCGTACGGCTTACTCGCCAGAGGAAGGTCCAACGCATGAACCCGCGTTGGGTGGCAAGGGCTAAGGGGCGGTGGCCTAGACTGGAGATGGACGGTTTTGTGCGCTGCTGGCTGATGCACCAATCATAGTTCCGCCACAACACGACCCGTTTTTTTTGGGGGGGGAAATGGCCAACCCCTGGGTCCGCCGTTATGGGGATGTTCTCTCATCGGTCTGCTTACTAGCGATTGCCATGTGCCGCTCCAATATTTGCCGCGGGCGTTTTGGAGACGATTTGGGGTGGCGTCCAAGCCGTATGAGGCCCGGAATTTGATGGGGCCGACGTTACCATGTCTGGCGGTAATCACCCGGGCACAGGCTCGGGCGTCGGCTGCGTCGGAGGCGGATTCCACTGATGGTGACTGCTTGCGTCAGCATCTTCGAGCGAGCCAGGAGAATGAGTAACAGCGTCGTATGGAGTCGACGGCCGAGAGTTTTGCCCCCATTATGGCCGGTCGGGAGCCGACGGATGCCAAACCGCGGGAAGAATCTGGGGATGACGGTGAAGGAGAGTTGATGCAGCCGGCGGATATGGGTCTGGAGCTAGTTGTCGAGGAGTCCCCGGTGATAGTGGATGCCGACCGGTCTCAGGTAAGTGCTGACAGTGTGGAACCTTGTATATTGGGTAGTTCTCTATCGGGGCCGGGGGAAACCACGTTGGGGGGGCATGTGTCTCAGGGTTTGGTGGACAGTGTCCCGCCCGAGGGTACTCTGGTTTGTTCTGGGCCAGGTTCTGCGGTCGACAGTGGCTTAGGCGCGGTGCAATCTGGACAACATGATACGACGGCCAGGACAGGGCCGGCCCTCAGGGGTAATCTGTTGCGTGACGATAGTTGTTGGTACAAGGGGTCCAGCCATACCGAGGCCAACATGGAGCCTGTCGTCGAGGGCATTCCATGGTTGCTGTCTGAGGAAGCAGTGAGCCCTGCATGCGGTGACGTGGCTGTCGAGGACAGCATGTCCCAGGGACGTGGTTTGGGGACGGACTCTTCGGGGATGGTACCTGAAGAGGGGTCGGATGGTCTGGGAGATCCACTCGGTGTATCGAAAGAACGCCTGTCAGACCAGTGTTGGCAGCAGCGGATGGCACAGCGCGAGGCAGAGGAGTTAGTACCAGGTGGCATGGATGATGGGGTTGAAGTGCCAGAGGCTTTCGTGGATGCTCAGGAGTGGTCCGAGCAACTATTGATGGCTTTACAGCAATTCCAGCTGTTTCAGCAGCGTCACGACGAGCCGGTCGCTGACGCTTCTATGGATTCCAAGGATGTAGAACGGTTGTCTCACACTGGGTTGAGGTATGAACCACAGATCAATCGGCGTTTACGGTTTCGGACAGGGTGGAGGATGATAGACCAGCAGTGTCGGTTTTGTTCAAACGGGTCGAGGTGCCTCGTCCAAAACGGCCGCCTCTACGTTTGTTGCCAGGAGTTTTGGACGAGCTTGTTAAGTTGAGACCTGGTAGCGTGGGGTTCGAGTACAGCCACGCACCGTGCTAAGTGCGGTCTGATTGATACATTATCGATACATGTGTGCACGTCCGGAGAGACTCCGAGGCCTGTTCCAAGAAAAGTTGGGGTGGATTTTCCCGAAAGGCTTGTTAGCGGATATTGTTGACACGTGCACAGTATGTATCGCTCGCCGTGGTGCTTCGGTGGGTTTACGGCAAGGGTTGCTGTGTCAACCGCCTCGTGCGAAGGCGTTTGGAGTGTAGTGGCACTTGGACTAATAATACCATGCGCCGAGTCCGGATGGGTATAATTTCATTTTGTTAGGTGTATGTCGAATGTCTCGCATGGCGGTGGGCCGTCCGATGAGGCGTCATGAACATACGTATGAGGAAGCAAAGCGGTTTGTTGAACAGCAAATTACACCATGGGGTTGGCCCAGACAACTCATCATTAATGAGAACAGTTCACGTCCTGGTGTTCAGAGCGCAATATCCGGGTTCATCCGGTCCAGAAAGGCCGCCACCAGGGCAATGGGCTAGTTGATGGTTGTCACGGTTTTTGCCCAAAGGGCGGGAAGCCTCCTGGCCGGATGCGGTAGCCGATTTCATCTCGGCATACAACTCGACTTGGTCGTCTACTACAGGCATGGCGCCGTATACTCTGGCCACAAATGGTCGGGTGTTTTCTCATCTCGCTGATGCGGAGCTGGTGGATTGTTGCGGACCGATCTGGGCGAACAGATTTGGACGAGAAGGCATGGGATATGGGCGATAAAGCCCAGTTGGCACAGGCACGGGCTGCTAATAAGTGGCGAGTTGACGTGCCCGTGTTCAATATGGGACGGGTAGTTATGTTCCGTCCCGCGAGAACCCCGCACAAATCCCAGGCAGATTGCGTAGGTCCGGTGGATGAGGTCGCATTAGATCCGCCGGTGTACCATAACGTGCGCATGAGGGTTAGTGGCAAGTTATATAGTGTCCACATTACTGACATGAGAGCCTATCGCATACCCATTGTTGAGCCAGAGCGGGGAAAAGCACATCGTTGCCTATCAGGCACGGTGTACACCAACTGGCTGATGTATGAGAGCCCGTTCAAGGACGCGGGTGACCAGGAGCGGCAGGGGATAGTTCGTGCTTTTAGCACCAGTGCCGAAGCAGCTTCCTGGCAGAATGGTGTCAACACGTATTGGCATCGGTGGGTGGCACTCACGCATACCCATCAGCATCAGCGTACGGAGTCCTTGCAGGAGAGAGATCCGGAGCTGGTGGCTCAGCATATTGGTGCGCGGTTTGTACCTGCTTGGCGTAGCGCAATTTTCAGTATCGCAGAAAGAAATTGCTACAGTGGGGAGTTCGCAAGGAGAATCGTGTTCGCCAGGGTTAGTGAGCTGTCTGTACTGTCATTTGATATTTTACATCCCCATACTGTCTGTACGACCGCACTCGTTTCAGCGGTAAGGATACGATAGCCGAGCTTGAACGAGTCTGTCAACCGATATATGAACAATATGGATTATAGGCATGCGTTCACGGGATTGTAACCTGCTTTATTCATTATACTATAACGTTTGAGTCCAGTCTGTCAGCTCTAAGGAACGCTGATGCGACAGCATCCCGTTCCTGGGGGGATGTAAGGTCCGACAGTACTAGAGTTCGGTATTGGTGTAGTACCGAACCGACGGAGATCAGTACTCCGTTGATTGACAGCTGATATAAGTGGTAGAGAGTGATTGACAGGTTGGAGGAGCAGAGGTTGTGGGAGAGGTGTGTTAGAGGATGGGATACATTGGTGGACCTCTCCGTAGGTAGGTGTCGTTGTAGACCTGGAGGAGTGTTGTGCTAGATAGTTGACCGTACCGGGAGACAATAAGGATGTGGATGGCCGCGAGGTGTTCAAGGGGAAGAACCGAGGGTGAACCAGTGTCCGAGGATGTCCAGGGGAGGGTCAACAATGGCGAGGATTCTTCGACGAGAAGGATACTTAGGAAGCAACACACATTTGTGCCCGATCATTCAACTAGTAAACTCGGAGGCACAACCAATAAACTGAATGTTAACTATCATTCCTTGTGTGTTGACCTCTACAGCTGACGGTATCCTATGACTCACACGAAGGCCGAAATATACATCTGGCATTCACAAAAAAACAAACAAAAACGAGATAATAATATGCATCAGGAATCAAGTTTGTGACTTTTGAACTAATTATTTTTTTAAATTAATTCAGGAGCACGTATCCACATACTGTTGGTAACAAATACATAGTTGTCACTGTCACATCGCTTTGTCTGAATACGGTACGTCCTGATACATGTTTCAAGGTAGTCGCCAACAATATTAGTTGTCTTGATTGTCGTATGAATGGAGATAGTGTTGCTGGACGTATTCGGCTGGGAAGGATTTATATCGGACGAATCGTTTAGATCAGCTTTTGTTTGTGTCCTGGAAGTACTTATCACCAGTGTACGAACACTTGCATTCCGATTCAAATCAATTCTAGTCGCTGAAGTCGTAGAGAGAGAAGTACTCACTGAAACACCTGTAGTAGCAATAAAACAATAAAACCATCGGGTGTGTGTGTGTGTGGGAGGGGGGGGGGGGGGGGCAGGGGGGAAAGATGATTTCCTTCTTCATTTATTTCATTGCGACTACTAACATTTGTGTGCGTAGTCTGTTGATGTTCGTCTGTCGGACCATTACCTCCATCGATAAGGCCCGAATAGCAACCGCATATATATCCCCGGACCCTGCTCCATCGATGTAGTTGAAGAAGAGGGTACGCTGCCCATTGCTTCTTGGGCTAGTTGAATCACAGCTTTCGTGCCAAATAAGGTGAGCTGACTGGAGGCGAGTGTGTGTGGCGTAAAATTTAGAAATTCGACTTTCAATCAGCACCGGTATTTGTACCACCTCATTTCTTCTTCACATTTTTATTTTTCGTACTCTTCGCTGGTTGTTTGCTAGATTTAAACAACATTGTGAAAAGAATAGATATGTGCATCCATCTGACTGGAGGCGAGTGTGTGTGGCGTATAATTTAGAAATTCGACTTTCAATCAGCACCGGTATTAGTACCACCTCATTTCTTCTTCACATTTTATTTTTCGTACTCTTCGCTAGTTGTTTGCTAGATTTAAACAACATTGTGAAAAGCATAGATATTTGCATCCATCTGACAATAAGTAGGCAGCATTTGTAACAATTATAAGTTTGGCATGCCTAGCATACCATCACGCCATCGATGCGGTTGAGATTACGAATGTCGTACCTTGTCGTTACTGACCCTAACTGGTGATCTTGAGAATTCTTCTCTAAATATCAGTATAGGCATATATATCCATCGACGACAGCAAGTAAGCAATGCTACATATGCAAGTTTGGCTTACCTCACCATCGATGGACGCGGTTGAGATTACGAAAGAGGTACTTTGTTGTTTCTAGACCCCAGCTATTTATCAAGATAAAGACACCAGATTTAGACAAGAGTTTTGTATTTCAAGATATCAGCATATGCATACATATCCATCAGTGGCAGTATGAAAGCAATGCTACATATGCAAGTTTGTCGTTCCCAGCATGTGATGCGCACAGTTGAGATAACGAAAAAGGTACTTTGTCTTTCCACTGGCCCCAGCTGTTTGTTTAAACTAAGACAAACGTTACATTGCTCTCAATATCAGTATACACTTACTAATACATTTATGTAGACACAAAGGCAAACTATCGGTGCACCACACAGTAAGAAGGTTGAATGTCGTCTTTAAATACTGGGACTACTGAGGTACAAGCTTGAAAATACCCTATTTTTGTATTGACCAGTGTACGACAACATTAGTATATCCCGCTCTTGTATTCAAGATATCCCAAGTATCCCTTTTTGTTCGGAAACGATATTATTAGGATTATAAAATTTGGAAATACAATGATTTCCAGAACAATGTCATCTTTGGATCTTTTGGCGAATCGATCAAAATCAAAATAATATGCCCACTACGACAGTAAACAAACTTACCGGCATACTATTCCAAATTTTGGGCTAGAAACATGCAGACTCGAAGTAGACAGTCATAGCTTATATAATACAAAATACTCTATTTGGATGGGGGGGGTGTATCTATCTACCTGCACTGCCCGTACGTTCAATAAGAGGTATTTTTCGATCTTTAACTACTCCTCAAAAGACAATAGGTATTGAAAGTTTAACAATACTGTCGTGCGACAGTCATTTGTTCCTGGATAGAAGTGATCAATACCACCCCTGAATAAGAATATTCTCAACACATTGCCCCGTGCAAGAACAAGATCTATCTAGCCTGCAGGTCAAACCAAAGTTCTTAACCGAAGGTCTCTTTATTGTTTTCCTTATTCCAGGAAATATAACCGCTTCCTTTCGGTTCAGATATTGCATTGTCTGTAACAGATTTATGTTCACCTCGAAATGACCAAATATGTGGTACATATAATGTGATGAATAGCGAAGTCGCTTTCCGAGAAGAAATGTTCTAATCACCGACATCAGCATGTCAGTTGTACAGAGGAAAATGCCATTATCCCAATGTGACGCAATGTTATGTACCAACAGAAAGGTTGTACTGCACAAACCCACTTTAAAGTGCTCCACACCAGCAATCTGGTTATACAGCTGAAAATAGTAACTGGAAGTAATTTGATATGCAATCTTGTACTGCGCAAATCTAATCACTTTGTCTTCTACACAGCAGCATTTACACCTTGCAAAGTTCAAATGAAGGCAATGTACCGCAGCTTACATGCCCATTTCGCTGTGTATTATTTCGAGTACTATTCGAGTATTCGTACCTTGCAGATGTATATGCTATTGTATAGAATGAACCGACATTAATTACAAAAGTGCTATGCGACGCTGCTTTGAATTCTATATACTGGCAGTACGTTATATCGATAAAATTTTGATTGAGAACTGACTGTGTTTGCGAACAATAACGAAATGCGGATCAACACGGTTTAGTATAGCTTTCATCGTTTTTGATAAAGTACGGTTTAAAAGTAATGATAGTAATTTTGACTTGTTGATCCCAACGATTTGTCTACATTAAATTACCATATTGGAATCTGTATCTTAGTGCATTCTGACATCAAACCTAGCGCTTTTACTCGATGCATTTTCTTGATCTAAAGTGCTAATTAGGGGTTTAGGGTTAAGGTTTACTAACTGCGCGCATAAAATGAAATGAAATATTTTTTTATGTTCTTGTTGTATAAGTTGCGATACTCAGCTCCAGAGTAATCGAACATAATATTTTTCGATAACATTTTTCCGTCAAGATAGGATGAGTGGGCCAAAAGTAAACAGGTCAAAACGTGATCGTAGTGAACAAATGGTGAAAGGTAGAACTGCGTTCGAAGTGATCGGGGAGATTTGTAAGCAAATAAATTTCTTCTTCTGGCTGGTATCAATTTATGTTTAGTCAATAAATTCAGTCCGTCAAGCTCCTGAAGACTTTTAGAATCGATAACGAACTTGTAAATACGCAAGGGTCCCGCGGGTTAAAACAAAGAGACTACAGAAGTTAACGGATTATAATGACCTGTTCTCATATTGCCCATTGGGCCATCGGTCATCGGCCAGCCCGAGAGTACGTGGACCATCTGCCAGCCCGAGAGTACGCAACAGAGAAAGTGATATATAGGTCTTTTTCTAGAAAGATGGTAACGATTCAGACTAGGGTGGGAGCGCCACACTTCTCGAAGGTAAATCGTGAGGGAGGCTTGTCATTTGGAAATACTGCTTTGAAGAAGAGCCAGACAGGAGTTGTATCCGCCAATTCGCCTAGACATTTTTCCGGCAGCTGGCGACCCGTCATTTGTGACATGAATGCTTCAGAACCTGATGGGCGGGCTGTTGATTTTGGTATTGGAGGGGATGGTCGTGTTTTAGGGGACGGTTTTGTGGATTTAGCTACTTTGGAACGGTAGCTGGCAACTTCAATGTCACGTGGCTCATTGGTGCGCAAGCGTTTTGCCGGTGTAGTGTTCACAGTGGCATAATTTGTTGGTTGTTGAGGTGAGCTCACACCAAATTGAAATGTAGTAGTATGATTGTCGTGTGGCGGTCTACTGAGGAGGGATTCGAGGTCCACAGTTTTCTCTTGGTGACCTCGGCACTGGTGACCTCGGCTTAGCTGAAAAGACGTTTCGGATTCCAAAATTTAAAATCAGAAGGTCCGTGATGAAAAATAAAAAAGGGGAAGTGAAAATTAAACAAGGGGAAGTATGTCTGCACAATGATTCTCATACTGATCGTATGAGATTTTCCCCTAGCCAATCCAAGTGGTTGAACATTAGTACAGACACCCTCAGTATATGACTGATGGTGAGATCATAAAAAATTTTATTCTTAAAAGACACATCTACACATTGCTTATAGTCTCCTACCCTACACGCTATCACAAAGTAGTATCAATCTAAAGCCTGCTACTTTCTGCAGAGTTGCACATCGACCAGTTCAAAGCGGCTGTGATATAGGTGTTTTGAACTGGCTTATCAGATACCAGCATCCGACCATTCCCGTTCAGTACAGACACAGTATGATACAGCACATATTTTAGTAAGTTATAGATAAAAACTCAGACGTTGAAAAGGGAAATTGTAACTTCTCACATATTTGAAGTTCATAAAAATTTGACCAATTCAGTAAAAGATCTCGATGACTTCGGCTACCGATCTACATTCCCAAACCATTTTTGCAGTTTCTTATTAGATTGCTGTTGCTTATTCTATGACAGTACCGTCTAGCCTGAGCGTTATTACTGGTAGAAACCGCTTCCCGGTAGATCTACAGTGCTTCAATTATACACAGGACTCAAGCTCAGACAAGTGTAGTTGGTACGCAACGGATCAATCCTCGAAAATAGCGAAAGTACCTTTGAGCTTAATTTTTGCAATGGGTTACGCGTCGAATGACGTTCTATTCGATACGTTGTAGTGAATTTCAGGCATTCCACGATAATCAGCGACCAGTTGTATTTTCAAACCTGTCTTCAAAGTATAAACTTGTGTGCGGAAAATGCATAAAATGTCCGTATGTGTTCTGTAACTTGACATGATTTTGAAAAGCGGAATACATTCACCAGATATTCATTTCTAGAAGAAAGGGCCTCTGATTTTTGATATGCAGAGGGATGGTGGTCACAACGTATTCTCAAGGAACCTACAGTAAGACGTTAGACATAGATCGGGTGAACATTTGGGTTCAAAGTATTTCTGGTGCCGCATTATCAAGTACATACGATACTATCCTAAGTTGGGCGCAAAATAATTAGCACAGAAACATCGACGTGTAAAAATGAACGCACATCGATAAAAACTTGCTCGTTTTTTACCAGCAATTATCAGGTAAATTATTTATTTATTGACATTTTAACATCTTATCAGCCCTCTAAGCACATCAAAGTAAAGGTCATCTGTTGTTCGAATTTCTATATTCGGTATCGACACAGTTGAGTGTTTCCAATGCACAGGAGGGGAGTAAATACATGAAAAGAATGAGCTTCTGATAGGTTGCCGTTGATCGATGCAATATCGACATGTGAGAGAAGACTTCAAGCTTCGTGAATAAACCACGATAAAATCAATACTTCGATGGAGAGGCAGAGCCCACTAACCGCCCCACCATGAACTGCTTGCAAATTTTTTGAGATTTTTATGCTAGGCACATCATACTCGCAATTTCAGATATACCTAGAAAGTATGTTTTTCGTCCATAAAGCAACACAATAAATAGTACATTATATACGTCCAAAATACCAATTCAAAGTACCAGAGCATGCGCGCACAACTAATTTGTCATAATGCTGCAGGAAGGGTTATCGAAATAAACTCAAAATGAACATAAGGTGCTTTAAAACAACTACATAGTACATAGTATCAAACACACGAGGAATTGAACAGAAAACTCAAACTATATTAATAAACCTTGCAATATCGACAAGTCCTGATGTAAGTTAGATGACATAAATAATCACAAAGCATAGAGAATTATCACACATGAGCAGATTGAAACACAATAGCACTAATCTGGGTCAATAGTAAACAAACTCTTAATTTCATTAGGCAGTGAGAGTCACAACTTTATAGGAAAATAACACGCCAGATGAAGAATATAGCATGCGGAATTATACGACACACCCATTGTGAATTTTAGTAATCCCTGACGTAGACACGTATAATGCGGTGTGCTAAATCAATAACAACTTATCTCCTTCATAAAACATACTGCTAGAATCTCAATTTCGTCAGGAACGGCGTACGGTTTGCATTCAGTAACTTTGCCCTTCAGCAATCTGAAGGCATCTTTCATTAAAGATTTGGATCTTGTCGTGTTGTAACTCCCCATCGCTATCGACAGGATCTGAATAGCAATCATCAGAATTATGCAGGAATCTTAGATAACTTGTACTAAAGAAAGCTTGCGGACCGATGTTCGAGTTGTAAGTGGATGGCCCTAATTCATTGAAAAGTCAACAAACAATCATTCGGATTGGAGGCGAAACCGATATATTGTGTGGTCCACATTTGCTATTGATCACTGACACCATAAAACCCCTAGCAAAAAAATCTAGAATTGTTGCGCACTTTTCTCGTTATTAGTAAATACATTTGGACAGCGAAAGCAGGTCACAAACCGAATGCACTGGGAAAAAAATTTGTGCAGAGTATGTCTGTTATTGTGCAGAGTATTTCTGAATTACCTCAAAAATTTACACTGAGGGGAAAAAAAATAACACCCGCAAGCAACCAACCAACGCATCATGGTCAGGCACAACAGTATCACTTAAGGATTCACGCGAGGAGTCTATATACAGGATGAACTATACCTTCAGGTCCATATGTATTTGCTGGTACTGCTGTAAGGTGATCTCCATCCCATCAATGATGATACAAATGCCGTCTGCTATATTATCTTGTAAACCTGAATGAAATTGAAAATAAAAAACCTGTCAGTATACTAAACAACTATAAATTAGAGGGCAGTATGTGTATATCTTTTTACGTAGTCTGAAGATCAAAATTCCGCACTCACTAGCCAGAGAGGGCGACAAAATTTCACCATACCTTCAATCATCGTCCGACAATACGATCTGTCAATGGAAGTCACCTCGGAATGCACTGTTACCAGACCCTGGGGAGAGATGAGATGGAGGCAAGAAAATATTTGATGGAAAAGTAGTTTTAGCGATACAGAACAGATACAAACGGGATTGATTGAATCACAAAATAACGCAATGTAATACCCGCCTGAAATCTATGCAGAATGCGTTACAAATAATCGGGTGTTCGCATACTTCAAGAGGTACGGACACGATATCGCTCAAAATACACACTCAACTTTCACAACAGATCCTAATCAACCCGGTAAAGCCTATATATTCATATGGTTGCGGATGTAAATATGACCCGCTTTCAGACACCATCGAAAAGTGATTGGACAGAAACTCCACTAGCACGAAGCATTGCCATGTACAGCCTATTCATTTTTCAACTGACCTGCCTCTGCTCGAGACATAAACTCAGCATACATCGAGGGGCCCCATTGCATACAGCACAAGCTAACATCACAATCAGCCCAGGTAAGTTTCAATTTACCAGATGCACGCTAAAATAAGAAACTGAGTACACGTTCGTACATGATCGAGGTACAAATATAGGGGTACATCTGTATAGAAACACAAATCTAGATCTTCGACAAATCAGAGCATATGTAAAATCTACCTATATCCAGCACAATCGACACACCAGAATCACGTCCTTTACGAACTGTCTTATTCCGCATGGTTTCTTCTGCAGCAGCGAGTCATCCTTCACGCCCTCATCGATAATGGCAATCAGTCGTTCTGTGTTGGTGCGCACGTAGTCGTCGTTGATGTCTAGAGCCAGCAGTTTTAATTTTCGCAGAGGTTGCTGTGTGTGTGTGTGTGTGCGATTTGGTGTGATGAAGAATTGAGCAAACTTCACGGCAGAATATGTGTGATTTTGAGCACTTTTTCTCCCGGGAAATGCACAAAAGCAGCGCTACATTGCCACGCACCACAACGCCGTATTTGACGAAGGTACAGAATTTGCGCCATTTGGTCAGATATTGACGATTGCTGACAGCTTCAAGTTCGTTGCCTGAATCATGATCAAATGACGCGCGTCATGGCAACTACATCGCATCCCACAATGCGAATGCGCATGCGCGGACACGAGTACATCACTGAACCCCGGCCCTAGGCGCCGAAGATAAACAGGTATAGAAAACATTGGCGCGAGACACAAGAAAAACAAGTAAGTTGCAGATATAACACCATTTCCCCACCCACCTACACCGACAGAGAGCGGCACTCTAAAATCCTGAATAGGGTATCCACACGCATGTGTGCACTTACCTGTAACATCGCAATCAGAGAGCACATAAACTTCTTCTCAAACATCTGGCCCAGCATCGGTATAGTAATGTCGATAAGGTAGTTGATGGACCCCAGCACAATCAGCAGTCGCTGCGACCTGCTCGGGGGATGTGACTCGAAGGCGAGTAGATCTAACGACATGTTCTGGTACAGCGACTGTTGGCCTCGCTGTGGGATGGTTTACGGTGCAACGCAGGACAGAATGGGGTTGCGGTATACGTATGAGTACCCGCCCCGCTATAGCATGCATAGGCCGATGGTATAGTGAACGAAGAAGCGGCCGGTAACGAAAATGTCACACAATAGTGACACAATTGAGAGTACTGTACGGCTTGGTCAACGGATTTACTTATCCACACACACTTCGCAGACATGCGAGATGTGGAGTAATGTCTCCCTATCGAATTCCGGTCGAACTGGCTGTTACGTGGCGGACAGGACCTCAAACGGTCAATGTGTGATACGGAGACTATTACAAATGTTTTGAGAGGATTGGATTCCGCTGGGATACTAGAAAAAGGTACTTTCATGGAGACTCTATAGCATGAAAACACACGCGCAAATAAAGTTATTGTCCTAGTGTATGAGTGTACAAATACTGGTCATGAACGCATGGCTTGCCCACCTTTGAATTCGCCGAGGGGTCCTTTAAGAATGCATGGTGTCGTAGTATCTCTGCGTGTGTATGCATGTGTTGTAAGGATTAGCAAAGGGACTATAGGGTATAGGCATAAAATATTGATTGCCAAGGAAAGGATATTGAAACACCGGGATAGTCAAGTTTTCTCGACAATTTCGAAGCGTAGAGGAGTGTAGGCGTAAGGTCTGATCGAGAAACTCTATGTATCACACACTCATGCGTGTGCGAACATTCAAAACAATAATGCCTCATGCAAGGAACGACCCGCAGTGGTTTGAATGCCAGAATTGGACCATGCACAACCCTGTCACGAAGGTACTGTTAAAAACATCGACTTACAATACCATCAAACAAGCCGTTGGAATTTGAGTGTGTAGTCGATAATTGGTACATCGTGATAATACAATAGTTTTGAAAACTGATCCCACACATACAGCTGGTGCTAATATCAATGGCCACGCGATGACCGAACTCAGGCAACGAAAGCCTGTCGAACTCAATATAAAGAGAAGATATCAATCTCAATAGACCAGCAGCAAACAGCAACTTGTCCGACCCAACACGCCCCTACCAGTGAAATCGTGCAGTAATGACGCAATCTTGTCTCGCACTATCACCACGGTGTTACTGGGCTCATTCTTCACGCGATGCGACTTTTCCATCAGCACTGGCGCGAGGTCATCAATGCACGCCTGTTTTACGAGCACGTTGGGGGAAAGATGGCTGAGTCATGTCATTCCAGATACATCAACCACAATACAGTCTAAAACTATATCAGCAGGTATATGCACATTCGTTAATACAGCCGTGTGTACAATTTCATGATGTGCCGCCACATATACATCTGAAATAGTGATTGGGGTTGCAGATGAGACCTACCTGTATAATAACATTCAGCTCGTCTGGAAGCTCCGTCACACTCACGCCCACTGACACCGTCAACTTCCAGTCTATGAGTTTATGCACCTGTTAAGTGAATCCAAAAGGGGTCAGTCAACCAGTGTCTGTAGGCTACAAAGCACACCTGCGTGTGCCAATGCACGCTACTTTATGGGACTGATCGGCACGGCCAAGTTTTGATACGCGACTCGGTGGCATCGTAAATATATCAACAGAACAATGATATGTGGCTGCTTGCATCCATATTTCTTCTACAATTGACCCTTTTACAGGTGTACAATTCATAAAGAGTATATAATAATTTTCTGGGCTTCTGGTCCTTACGTAAGTGATATACTGTAAGAATATGTTTGGTCCTAAAAAAAGAGAAGGTAATCGGCCAATCTAAAACAGCATGAACCACGCAGTTCACCGGCCCCACAAACGAAGCACACGCACGTCATTCCAATGCGCCAAACGAATATACACACAAGATCACGATTCGCAAACAACAGCGCCAGGAAAGCAGCTTCACACAACCAGAAACGCACAAGACTCTAGGCAGATTGATTCATCTGCAGTTGCAAGCGACCAGCCATACAGAGCGCCTCACGAGCACAACAAACAAACAAGCACAATACACTCACACACAATTGCACTAACTGAAACGACAAGCGCACGCTCACGTACATTAAAGACATGCGATGACTTAAGCACAAGCACAAGCGACAATCAAGTATAAAACAACGCGCCACAGAAATATCGGCGACTGGTTCTGTACTGCTGCCGGATGCTATTAGAAAAATTAGTGACTGGATACGGCTTCCGACATGGGAGTCCGCGCAAAGTTCTTTGCGGGACGCACGAAAACTGTTTCTGCTGTGTTCTTGCTAGATACTACATCTTGCCGTAATTACTATTTTCCTTATCTCGGAAAGTATAGCATGCTTGCAAAGATGCCACAAGATACAGAACTTCTAAGCTTTCAAAACTCATATCTTCAGAAATCACATACCTCCTCGTGTGTCTCCTGCAGCACAGGGCGTACACAGAAGGCCCTGTAAGCCTTTAACATCTTCGTGAACATGCGCACGTACTTCTTCGCGTCCGTTTGCAGGCCTTCGAGGTCACCCAGCTGCTTGAAAAAGGTCGATATAACCTGCACAATACCAGTACAAAGTCGCCCATTTAGGTCGGGGATGCTCAATACACAACAGAGGTGGAAGACTACTGAGAGACCACACAAAGGCATTGACAAGTTGTTTGGTGCTGTGGTGAGCCCAAAATACTCAACGTGGCCCATTATCTTCGCCGCGTTTACATGGAGATTGTGGAACTACAGAATACCTCTCCAGGGCACACATTTGAAGTCTTATATACATCTAAATATACACCCATACATAGAAATACTCTTACGCAACCATGTGCGCAGATGGATAGAGCTAATTCAATACACACACGCATAGACGTGAATACAAACATACATTGAGACACAATGTACGAGCACTTGCATTCACAATCTGAGACACTCATGTATGAGCCAAACGGCGCACAAAGGCCTCTCGTACGAGTTGATTGCTAGAGCTGAAAGCTACCAGATCGCGCTTGGCGTGGGTAATTGAAACAATGTCACTAAACAAAATCGCATGTACGAGTTCAGACAAAAATATGAATGGGATAAAATCTCAGCTCCATGACTCACTACCTGTACGTATATTCGACTTGCACGATGAACCGTGTAATGACTAACATACTAACAGGCGCTCGGGTTCCGGTCACATTATACGTATGCATACATTCACAGACACAGCACACTGATCAACTCAAATGCACATCGCTAGACATAAAGGTAAGAAAACTAAGCAACGCACCGTGGCACACTTGAGAAGGGCTTGAGACGTTTCGTGATCGCAATCGAACAAGATATCTGCGAACGGGGATTCTTCATCCGCCCCTGACTCTGAATCCTTATCGTGGTTCAGTCCGAATGCTGCATTAAAAAATAGAGCCAAAGCTTTATACGTTTGAAAAGTGGCATTAATATATATCGTATGCATAAACCACACAATTATATATAGAACCTAAAAAAGATGTATCTATCGCAGTACATCAATGTGTATCTAAAATATTAATCTGTTGCCTAAACATGTTCATACACACACCCACACCTACAACCACACGCACACACGCACACACACCCGAACACGCACACACACGCACACAGACATAGACATAGACACAGACACAGACACAGACACACATATATATAAATACATACATACATACATACATACATACGTATATATATACATTGGCACACACACACACACACACACACACACACACACACACACACACACACACACACACACACATATATATATATAGTATTATTCTACTAAGAGCACCACATTCCTTTTTAACACATACAAATATATACAAATGTACAGTCTAAACTTAATATTACATATATATATAGTGATTGTATTGAATTCTGTACTATAGTACACGTACATAACCTTGCATTTTTTTGGAAGGAGGAAGGGGTGGGGAGGAGGAGGGAATCGTATATAGGGCGACCGACATGAATGTTGTTGGATGCACACGTTTTGCTGCCGATATGTACGGATTGAAAAAATCGCAATGACGGATGCATTCAAACCGTATCCTATAGCTTGTATACAAAAATTTATCCATATGGATGTCATTTTTCACCAACTACTGGGGGTATATAGCTTCATATTACTCATAAATACGTTTGAAAGCAGAAAAATATGAATTAAAAATACGTTTACGTACGCATTCGAATGCAATCTTCTCCATCTATACAACACTGTCCATAAAAGCTTTGAAGGGTGAAATCATCAAACGAACATATATTCACACATACTTACTACAAAGTGGCGTGTGTGTGCACTTTCGCGTCGAAAGGATCAGAATGGAAGTATGTATATACGTATCTACACATCTGGATACACACATATATATGTTCTACAAGGGAACTGAACTGATACACGGGAAATGAACTGATACCAAGCTAATTTTTAGCGTCTTACCGTTGGATATAAGCTTCTCGTAGAGCACAAACACTGGACCTATCGCTTCTTCCACATGGATTATGCTGCCGACCGCAGCTCCGCTGCGTAGTAGGGAAAGCACAGGTGAAAAAGCTAGCTGCAAGTGCACGTCTACATATAAGGCCATTTGCGGGCGGGTGGTATCAGTAATAGAGAGAAGCCGGTATTGTGTATACATATTACTATCGCTTGCATGGCCGCCCCCTCCAAGTGTATATGGTATTATACATATCTATAGCAACAGAAAATGATACTCACACAGTCCAAATACTCTCGAGTATCAATAAATCGCACGTATCCATAGAGGTACGCCTATAATACTCAATATACGTGTTTCGCAGCTGGCTTTTTTAAAGTACACACCATCACTTATACGTATCATTTCATAGATACACCACGCGAGAAAAAAATACACTTGGGCAGTCGGACCCATTCATTTGTTTGGATACACACAAACTTAAACACACACACACACACACACACACACACACACACACACACACACACACACACACACACGACACACACACACACACGCACACACACACGCACACACACACACACACACACACACACACATATATATATACATATATACGTATATTTTTGTGTAGTGCAAGGTTTTTCACCTACCTGGCATCACTTTGCGTATCTTTTCTATCCAAGGCCAACGACGACTTGGATTCGGATTGAGACATCGACATTCCACTTGCGGTGCTGGGGCTCTTGAGACCCTTCCACCCAGACGACATATTGGACTGACTGCCCATACCAATACCTTTCTCGGGCTGGCTTTTATCCAGGCCGGCCAGACAAGTTTCACAGTACATTTTGTATATCTTCCACAATCTGGGAGGGAGTTAGACGATGAACGAATGTTTATGCACAGGCAAGTCCATGAATATCTGCATACGCATATGTGCCTTTCTGAATGCATGCAGATGTCAGAGTATCGCTGCCGGCCGCAATCAACTGAACAAAACATGGGCTAGCTGTCCACGAACGAACTATTGCATGTTGCACGCACACTTAAAAGACGAAGCTGATTAAATTAATCTGACTGTTGTCAACTACACAACATATATATAATTGGCCTCAACCTTTGTATTATAGTCGTAACCCTGGTATAAGCAATCGCTTCCAAGTTGGATACACCGAACGAAACGCGTTACACGGGCATGTAGGGCTTTCATACCGTGGAAACAGCGTGGAGACGATTCTCGACAGTTCACTGATATATGAAATGATGCGCAGCGCACCCTGGGATGTCCACTCGTGCTCCTTTACAACAAAGCCCTCAAATTCCACGCTGTAATGAGGTTGAAATATAAGAGGTGTTGAGTGTGCAAATCAGAAGGTCTATAGGCAGATACAAATAAGAATGTGCCACAGAGGAAGAGAGGAATAGAATGAGGCAGGGCGATCCCATTTGTGCCCAGGAACAAATCAGGCCCATCTGGGTTGTGTCTACGCTACGTAAGTAGTTGACTGCAGTACTATGTGTTTATCATCTGCAACTTGTGTACCAGCATACAGGTGTAAACTAACAATTCTCTGTATCCATGGAAACTATATCCATGGAAACTTGAACATATAAAAACAAACGAAAAACACAAGTATACCTTCATATGCCTACCACTCTGTATCCATGGAAACTTGAACATATAAAAACAAACGAAAAACACAAGTATACCTTCATATGCCTATCCAGTGCCCCAGATTTAAAACATATGTCATTGACTTATAGCTCTGGGGGATAATCACAGCCAAAGACTCGTATCCATACCAAAGGAAGTATCATAAGGCCAACCACTTCACTATCTAAGCCAACCCAGGTACGCATACTCACACTCGGGCCACCAGCCCTACCTTTCAAACAGCTCAGTCCCGCGCTGGATGGTCTCCTCATTCTCGGGAATGGCATGGTATCGCATAGCACAGGTGTTCAGCATCAGGCACAGACCATCTCGCACATATCCAATCACCTGCATTTGAGCACAGGTTGTGAGTCATATTTGTTGCAACCAGCATGTGTCCCACATGAGCAAACCCCCATCGAAATAACATGTGCACAAGAATCGAATGTCATCATTGATTGGGCGTTGGTTGATGGACCAGGACGAGTACCCACACGAGGACGCGCATGGATATATATACATTATACGACCCGTGCATAAATAGACTACATCTCAAATTATTTGCATTAGCACTTGATACTACAATCAAACCATCCGATGAGCTTACTCACAGACAGATATGTAAAGATGCCAACAACTTTAAAAGTTCACCGAGCCACAGCATCCGTATCTATGAAACTAGTTCAAAACTGCCTACACAATGAGGATCGAAAGTTTCTGCTTTTGTGTGTGTAACTACCAACACAACTACGCTAGAACGACAACAAAACACGCTAGCGTTATCGTCCGTAGCTCAGTCGCATACGAAAGGTGTCATTTCGAGATCAAATTTCTGGATACCTGTGATAGATTAGACTGTGTATACCAGATGCCGTATCCCTCACAGATTGGACATCGAATAAGGTAAGGTGTACCGGTATCGATAACACTAGAATGGACGCACATATTCCCCCCTCACCCAGCCAGGATTTTCGTTAGCAACTCCTTGTCTAAATTACAACATTCTAGATATTCTAGACCTACCATCCAGGAAGGGTCCTCTGTACTGCCCAAGCGCAGCAGATAGTCAATGTACAGCTCGCGGTCAGCCATGGACGCACGTGGCTGTCTTAGTTTGTCCAGCAACGTGGTCCTGAGATCGTCCGCAATGGTCTCCACTTCGCCGAGCACCTGTTTGTGCAATACATCACCGTATAGACAAAATCGGGTCAGAAGAAATAGTGAAAGGCGACGCCTTGCCCACTTATGTGTCTGGCCAAAAGACTCCTGGAATGGAGATACTCTACTTGATGGACGCAACTAGAACCAGACTGAACATCCGTCATGGGGAATGTGTAGGCCGATATGCCTGTTGTCATATATGAAGGAATGCTTTATAAAGAGCGAAGTTTGTATCTGCATTTATGTCCATGTATATGTAGCGGATTTAGAGGTTTAGACTACCTGTTACTGATACAGTTGTGAGGATTTTTAGAATACACTCAACCAGTTCCTCACTAAACAGTACATATGTGTGGACAGACGGGTTACGATACCTGTGCCGAGTATGCTCACGCTACGTTACTGACAACGATTACGCCATGGTATATTAAGGTTTCCCCCACATGGGCGTCTTCCACTGAACAATACACAAAGCACACCACCACGCGGCCGATACTCGCCTCCCACACTCATCCACTAACACATCCACGCTGTTACACCTATACACCTCACAAGTAAAACGGACACCCCAGCACCTCCATCCCATCTGGCCAGAAAACAGTCGCGCTCCAGGCTATGCCACACGCTACATATGAGGGAAAATACTCACACACACACTTCGCACCAGCTGCACGAAGCCTGTGTGGCTGAGCTCGAAGACATTCCCAAGGCCATACAGATGAGACATGGGGTGCCAATTGGCCTCCAACCTTTGGGCACTCGCACACACCTGCGTACGCCCCACGCCAGGACACATACATTCCCCGTTCAATCTACATCACGACATACATTTCAAACAGTCAAGTCTATACCACACTGGCCACTATATCGTGTAAGCAAGAGACACACCTGCTGCACAAAGTCGACTTCGCTGTGACCGTAGAGCGACAGCGCCTTCTCGTACTCGGTGACGGCGATGAGGTACTGCCCGTTGGTGATGGCTAAGCGCATGGCATGTGGCAGTCCCACGAGAAACTTGTATCTATTCAGCACCCCAATTACTGAGCGGATGGCCTCTGCACGGTCCCTGCGCGCGAGCAAGGGCTTGATGTAGTCGCTGGCCATGGTACTGACTATTTGCTGGTTGTCCTGCAGACCTTTGGTCAGCTGTAGATACGTATCCAGTGGGCGTGTGGGTTTGTGGGGGTGGTGTAGTATTGGTAAGTGTCAGCTGTAGATACGTATCCAGTGGGTGTATGGGTTTGTGGGGGTGGTGTGTAGTATAGTATTGGTAAGGGTCAGCTGTAGATACGTATACAGTGGGTGTATGGGTGTATGGGGGTGATGTGTGGTATAATATTAGTAAGTTGTGAACGGGTTATTCAGATTATATCATTTTATGTTGGCGACGCAAGTGGGATGCGCTGCTGTCGTGCGGAATCTCATGTGTGGCGTGTATTTAGACGTGCTCGTTTCTTACATGGCAATGAGGTCGGACGTGCAAGTGGGTCCAGCATACATACTCGTTCATCTCAAATTTGAAGCAAAATTAGGCATGAGAGAAACACACAGAAGCCCAACACAAGGAATTTCAACACACACTCGCGGTGTGCCCCATTGTCAACCTGGTGACGTGCATACACCTTTTGCAGAATTAGATATACGTCTTACAACCTAACAAACACTTCTCACAACGTACTCTCGTACTATCAACAAGAAAGTTTGACAGCAATTCACCAATCTTCATTTGGGAGAAGTTCAACACCACCGTCTGTCGTATGACAAGAAATACGAAACAAATTCCACTCTCAGCAAACATATTTCAACACAATACCTCGCGTACACAAAGACTAGCATACTTACATCACCCCCGGTCTCATCCCTTTCGCGTTCCAGAACCTGCTGCATGGTCAAAATGACATCTTGACATGCCACATATCGATCGAAATTGTCCTTCATCAGACTCGTCACGGCGTGCTCCTGCTTGACAATCAGCGCATCCAAGTTCTCACTGGGGTAATAGAAATGCACTTGGAATGAGTCGGGCGAGATGAATTTGATGCCAGATTTAGTTAAAAACAAGATTTTCCGGCTTTTTATTTGAAGTTGAGCATAGAGCAACATGATAAATGAAACTCAAGAATAACATTGGAACACTTGTGTTTACACGAGCCATTGACTAGTACCAGATCAGATCCGGTCATAATGATAACATGCGCGTCAGACTAACCGCAATTTCATGGAAAGGACAAGGCCGCGAACGGTGGTACATCATACGGCCGTCCCAACTATTTATGCAGTGGCAACTTACAAACACACACAACGACAGCAATTTAAATCCTAGGCGGCATACGTGGAACCTCTGAGCTACACACTTACCACTATAACACACAAGTTAGAGAATACACTCTCGCCAGAAACATTACAGTGTTTTAGATTCCCGGACACAGCCTAGATATCATCTACACAGTGAGATTTCACCCAACCCAGCTCATCGCCAGAGACTCTATAGTGTTTTAGATTTCCAAAAACAGCCTAAATATCATATACACAATGAGACTTCACCCAAATAAAGCACCTTGGCAATTGCAACGACCACACTGATTTCCAAACCCTCATACCTTCCCACCATCAGCAGATGCAGAGGTGTATTGGCATGTTTCTCCGCGAAGAACCAAGCAGGGACGAAGTTGGCACTAGCGGGATCGCTGGTCCCCAGAGGATAGGTTTCACGCAGTGAAGCGAGGATGGGAGGGTCCACAGCTGTTTCGGCAATTAATACGTTTTCTTTGAATTTGCCCTTGGATTTCTTCTCACTGTCGGTGTGGTTTTATTTACCATACGCATGCGATCGTGAGCGGGAGTGTGAGGTGCATGGGTCATGGGTAGGTGGACTCAAAATCAGATTTCTGCAACATATTGAATCATTTGTTTATGGTGGTTCGTGTCGCAGCATGAACAGGGAAGTGTATGTGAGTGTTCATGAATGAAAAAATTGGAAGCTGATCATGGATCGAGAACATACTTGACAGCTTAATATATTCGTCCCACAGCATCCACAAGGGAGTTCTGATACTACAGCACTTAGTCACAGCTAAGAGATCTTTCCTTACTCTAACGCAATCCACGCACAATGATTAGTCACTACAATCAGTCACATCAACATGTCAGTCTTCGTACCAGCCTATTAGGAGCGACAAGCAGGTCACAGATACACCGCACAAGGACGGACCTATCACAGTGAAGGCTATTGAAACTGATATCAGGGTGAGTATAACGAGTATATACATGTATAGGCAGAATTATCCATACCAGTAATGGAATAATACTTCATACACATCAACTCGATAGTGATTTGCCAACCGATGGCGTGGCCGCAATTCACTGTGATATTATGACACATCACTAATTTGCGCATGATTCACAAGGCTTGCAAGTACAAAACCGTTTGGACTACACCGGGAAATCAAGATATACTCCACTCTGCGCGACTTCTGAACACTTAATCCTTTGCATATACCACTCTCTCCCCTCCAGAAGTACTATGGGTACACACTATATTTCTTCATATTGTGTTTGCGTTCTATTCCTGTACTGTCACACCCTGTCGGAGGTCTCACAACACGTCCTTTATACTCACTTATATACATCTGAGTTCGACTACAGACATCTCTCACTCTTTCAGGCAAATCTACTGTAATTCTACAACGACAGATGTATGTAACACATCTCCCTCACATAGACGATAAAAACTAGCACACACCCATGCTACCTATGCTTAAACTTTCACATACTCTTTATAGATACACAAGGGATCAGACACCGTTTCGATAACAACTGCCGTTCGGAGCGCCGAGTCGGGGCCATCGCGCAGTCTGCGGTCAGGAACATCTTTCCACTCATCCATCTCAGTTTCCGAATCTGTGGCATTTTGTTGATCACAGTCAGCAATGAACCCATAGTATTGTAATCAATTGTGTAACGGGACTTCAAGATGTTCAGTGTGATTGCCATGAAACTAATATCGCCACTAGCCAATCAGCATACACGGCGAAAGATAACTGACGAACAACACCCATACAGCAGATGTTATTAACACGCTCAGAATGCGATAGAAGACCAATTGACCCGCACATGGAGACCACATGAGCAGATGACACATACTTCCTCGATCGTATGTGGAGCGTAGCATGTGGTTAGAGACAATGTATGTCCTAAGCCGACTCTCTCCCGAGTTGCGAGTGTTTGCGCGTAGATAGGTGAGTTACTGTAAGGGCGCGCATCTACTGCTTGATGCATGTGCTGCATAGAGGATTTAAAACAGCTAATTTATATCCAAGCACGGTGAAGGGTGAATATTTGTTTCGATACTCTCATAACACTGTGGATGACGGACTAGCAGATGGCACCGAATAACCTAACGAAAAAAAATGCGATAAAAGGTGTTATCTTGATTCGAGCCACTGACAGGACAACCGATAGCAGTTCCAATTCAAAAGGGACTCACCGACTTCTTCTTCCTCCTCCTCGATGAACTTGAACATGAGCGATGGCTGGGATTGCCCGCCCATAGCAGTAGACACCAAGACAGGCCCCGAAAGGATCCTGCCACGGGGAAATCCGATACGCAAAGGAAATAGATATTCAAAATAGATTGGTTGCCATACCATCACCTATAGTATCTGAAATGATCAAACCCTTCGAGTATATATAACTATGAAGTAACAGGTAGACGCGCTTAGCTAATGTTGATCGCCGCCAACTGAATAGAAATTGTCCAGCTGCGATAGGGTGGGCATGATACACTACCAAAGCCCCGAAACGATACAAACATTCAACCAAGCCACAACAAATATTATTAGCACTATTATGGAAGCCAAATGTAACTCAGCTGCAGTCACTGAGCAGCCAAATGTAACTCAGCTGCAGTCACTGAGCAGCCAAGCGCACCCAATCGATTTGCACGGGAGAACTATTAGCGCCACTCCAGCTACACGACGAGTACGTTGCCTACTCAAAACACAATACATCCGTTCCAGCTTAGAAGGACAAAGCAAATAGGGATACATTAAACATTTGAAATTCCGTACCTTAGTCCGTCTGCTCCTCTTTCAGCATGGGGGAAATCGTCCAGGCGCACCTTCGCAGTAGTCACGACCAACTTGTAGGACGAATCCCACCGCACCTTATGCAAATGATCCACACCGCATATTGTCAGTCCTAATAAGTGAATACAGGGACGAGCAGATATACATGTGATTAGCAAAACTTACAATAGCGAAGCGTGGTTTATACATATATATATATACATACATAAGTAAACATATACAAAAACATACACAAACACACACACACAAAACACATTCTCACGCCCACCCACCCACACACACATATTTATATATACTTATATTACTACATAGATATACACACACACACACACACACATACACACATATATATATATATACATATATGTATATATATATATA